AGACAATGACTGAGAACGTTTCTGCCTCTCAATTAAAATTCTTATCCAAGAAAACCAAAGTTTACATTAATATGCAAAATTACACAACAGTTTACACAGAAAGCCCTTTATAATATGTGTCAAAGTTGCTTTACGTCATCAAATTGTTTGCGAGCTTTTTTCAACTCCTCGCTCATCGACAACAAATCCTAAAATAGTTTTCACAATGTATTGTAGCTTCCGAAAAAACAAACTGGGGTTAAAATTATCGCTTACCTTTACCCTGGCAAACTTCTTGGGGTCCCTTCGAATCAAGTAATGTATATCCTCTAGAGCTATTCGATCAGGTTTTCCGACCTAAAAAGAGACGTAATGTATGCACATAAATGAGTTTTTTTTTTTTTGTTATGAACTGACCTAAATGAAGAGCCAAACAATTCTGAAAGGAGTTTTTTTAAAATACTAAAAATCAAATGATGAGATTTTTGACACCTAGTTGTCATATAAGTACGAATCACTGATTTCTGCTCATAAATGTGAGAGAATCAGTAATATTACCCACATTCATCGCCCTTTCACACAGCTCTTTTATGTAATCCAGCACTATTCCCTCCAATGTCTCCAAGGTCTTATCGTAAGGTACCTGAAACTCGAAAAGTGATTTGGCATTTAGCTCGATTGCAAACTAAATCACTCACCTTATCATCACCAAATCCATATAACATGGAACGTAGCTCCTTTCGGAAGAAGAATTTTTTATCCTCGGGACTTCCTTTGTCTCTCTTCTCATCATCGTCCAAATCAGAACCGAAGAGATCATCGTCCTCGTCCATTGCTAGGAGTCAATTGGGCGATCCAGGCATTTCTAAAAGCCACGAATGGCACGCTCAATGTGAAGGGTATTCATGTGGAGTGGCCATCTAGAAAGGTATAGAAATGGGACTACTCGAATATTTATTTGAATAAAAGGGCGAACATAAGGGCAATACAAGCTGAGTCAACAGTAAACAAAACCCGTAGACAAAGTTTCAGAAAACAAGTTTAGATAATTTAAACGAGTATGGAGAGGTTTAACAAAGAAGGAGAAGAAGAGTATGAGAAACACTGACGAGGCGCGTGATGGTTTCACATGTATAAAAAACTTAAATATAAAATCTCAATGATTTATCGGTGAATTAGACCGATTTTCAAGGATAAACAGGAATTAGATCGTTACAGCAGAGGGATAAATCAATAACAATAAAATAATACCTAGAATACGGACACATTTAAGGCCTTGAGGCATAGGCTTAAAAGAAGGAGCGAGAAGATGAACTACTTTCTTTTGAGTGGAGAGAACCAAGTACAACTCCTAAGCTCCAACGTGGCATATCCATCCTCCACGTCTGCATCTGACTCGGAGCTAAAGAGTTACGAAATCAGCAGCTACCT